TATGATAAGGTAGTTAGAAGACACTAAACCATTTTTAACTTAGATATCCTCACCACTTCCCCAACAAGTAATCATCTGGCTGCTGTTCTAAGATGGATTTGAAGTGAGAACTACACTCATCCCTCCATTTCCAAGGGGATTGGTTCCAGGACACTGCAAGGATACCAAAATCCTCAAATGTTCAAGGTCCTCATACACAATGGTAAGTATTTTCATATAACCTATGCACATCTTCCCACATATAGTACTTTAAATCATATCTACATTATTTATAATACATAATACAATGTAAATAGTTGTTATAATTTATACATAAAAATGTATATTAATTTTATTGTCATATTTTTTTTCGTAATTTCTATCCACAGTTGATTGAAGCCACAGATACGGAACCCACAGATACAAAAGGTAACTATACAGGAATCCAAAAGGCCATTCAGGAAGTTATGGCAGAAGTCTCAGCAAAAAACAATGGAAGCTTGGGTGAAGGATCTACCAGATTAAATGGAAGATAGCAATAACATTTGGAAAATTTTAGAGTACAAAATAAATGAGAATTGATGGGACAATCCCGACATGGGTAAGAATCACTTTACCCCTGACATTTACATAAAATTGACATCATCTTTATGCCAACCTGTGGAATTCCAGTGCTCCTCCCAAGATGTCTGCAAATCCTAGGAGCTTTAAGCTGTCGGAACTGCTTGTCATGTTCTATTCCCCATGACTCTGAACTCCTTCTCCCTCATACATCAACTCCTACAGTCTTCCTTAGTCCTTAACTTTGTCCTTAACTTCACAGGAGACTGAGCCCCGTTTCCTTGCTTTCTCTAAACACCAACCCACTTCTTAACTGTGTAACTAACTGTTGGAGGTTATGGAGGATATGAAGAGGGTGTATAACAGATCTATGCATTATTTTAAAAGTGAAACAGAGCTACCCATTTCAAAATGGAATAATTTCTCCTTTGAATGTCCTGCAGATACCAGCAATTTTTCATTGTCCAGTATTTCTTCCCGTATCTCCTGCCTTCTATGTATTGTCTCTTATTTATCTTTTTCCCAACCATCCATATTGTCTTATCTTCCCCAAAAGCACTTTCTCTTTGTCCCCCTAAATATATCAAGGCTATCACTAGAGAGTTTCAACTTTAAAAGTAAATATGCCAGTGAAGGTGGTTTTACAAACAAACCTCACTTTTCCTTGAGTGGAGTTCTGTGGCCAACTCTCAACTAGCTTTTTTTTCTTTCTTACTGCCATTAAAAATGGAGGAATTAAGGATAGCATCCTAATTCTAGCCCTTTCACAGCTGTATGTATGTGTGGTGCCAAGAGGTAAATTATGATGCTGTCTCCACAGTCAGGAAGAAAAACCTACTTGCCTCGGCTTTAAAACAATCTTGTTTTCTTGCAAAATGTAAATATTTACAGTCATTGCACCTGAAGTTCTCAAGTTTTCTTGGATTTTCATTCCCTTTGCTTGGTGTCAATCCTGGGTTTAAATTGCATTTCTCTAGACTGAGTGGCATCTTGACATGGGTATCCTCAGTTTATAACAGGAAACTCTCCAAGAAAAGTTCACAGCCAATATGTCCTTGGTCACATGATACTCCCCCAAAATCTCACCTATGCTCAGAATTTGACTTTTTCCAGGACTTGCATAAATTAAGATTTATTGAACAGTAGCAGAAACACTTCTTTCTACTGTATTTTTCTGCAGCAGATGAATATGTCTCTATGCCCTCCAGATTACCATTTCTATTTCCTTTTTTTAATATTCCCATCTTCTTTCAAGCAGATCTTAGCTGAGCTTTATAAAGTTCAACCTCCTTCTTCAATTAGATCCCATTTCTCTTCCATTCATAAGGCTGAACTTTTACCGGATAAGATTATCATCTTATTTCTTTTTCTTTCTTTTATCATCTTATCTCTTTTTCTTTCTTTTTCCACAGTTTCTATTTTTACAGCAAACAAGACTTATTTTATTATTTTTTTTTTTTTGGTAATTCACTTAATATCACTACTAATGTTCTTAGTGTGCCTTTTCCAAAGCCTAAGTAATTCTCTCTTCACATATTGGGTAGTCAATTCTAGTTGCTGCAAGACATAAACACTGGAATACCGGTGAACTACCAAGATAAAAGATCCATGACTGCTCACATCCCAGCCAGGGTTTGGATTAAGTGTCGAGTGTCCATCTTGCAGCAGTGCCCTCCAGACCACACAGCTTCCAAATCGCCATGGCAGGAAAAGAGAGAGCTGGAAAACTGCATGGGGTGGCTTTAAGGGCCAGGCATGGAAGATGTTTACTAACTTCCTTCCACATATATTAGCTAAAAATTAATCACATGATCTCTAACTTCAAGGGAGTTGTGGATCGAGGAATGGACAAATGCATGTATAGATAGGATGTATAGTAAGCTCTAACAGTCTCTGCTACATGTTCTTAATTCTCTTTTTTACGTTATAATACATATTTTTAAGTTTTTTAGTTTTTGTATGTGTTTTCACATAAATATTATATATGTTATATATATTATATATATTAAAATATACATTTTAATTCATATTTTATATATATGTATATATATATATATATATATATATATATATGAGAGAGAGAGAGAGAGAGAAAGAGAGAGAGAGAGTCTTGCTATTGCTATACTATGTTGCCCAGGCTGGTCTTAAACTCCTAGCCTTAAACAATCCTCCTGTCTCAGCCTCCCAAAGTGCTAGGATTCCAAATACTCAGTTCTCATCCTCACAGGTTTTTTTTTTTCTGTATCTCAGAGGAACTTGCAATGTGGCTAGTTTGACTTCAGATTTTCTACATGTGTAAAATATAAAACATACACCGAGTTTCAAAAACTTTGTACAAAAAATAATATAGAAATATATCATTAAGGATTTTCATATTAATAGCATACTGAAAAGACAACATTTTGGATATATTTAGTTAACTAAAATGTATTACAAAAATAATTTCATGTTACTTTTTGCTTTTTATTCAATTTACTAAATCATGTTGACTAATTCAATATGACTACTAAATCAAGTGTGTTGCTAACATTGTATCACCATTATATGAAAGCTGCTCTAGAGATACAGTGCTCCAGATATAAATATTTCTTTAATTATATTTAATTATGGTCTTGCAATGACTTCTTTGAGGTTTTCTACCTCGACACTCAAGAGAATAACATACCTTCTTATACTAAATATTCCCATTCTTCTTATTCATTCATTAATGATTTCCTCCCCTTACTGTAGGTAGATCCTCTGTCTAGATTTCTGAAATCCATAATGCCCCCCTGCCTTAAATCAACAACAATCATGTATTTGCTCACAATACTGAAATTTTGGCAGTTTAGTGGGGATGGCTCCGGTCCACTCCACTGTTGCCCTGGGGAGCTGTTGATTAGTTTCAATTGGGCCTGCAAAGTCCAAATGGCTTCACCCTCATGACTGGTTCCTGAGGTGAGGTGGTAGATGCAGGAGCCCAGGGGCTTGATGAGCTCTTCTCTCTCTCCCTTTAGAGTTTCTCAGCCAACAACAAAGCCTCTCTCTCTCCACTTGGGCTTTTTTGGCAGTAAGGTCATTGGACTTCTTTAGTGGCTGGTTTTATATAACACAAGGCCCCTTAATGCCTAAGCCTGGAACAGGCATAGTGACATTTCTGTCACATTTCATAAATTAAAAACAAGCCACAGGGGTAGTCCAGGTTCAAGTATAGTCATGTAATTCATAAATTTCGTTCAACAATGGACCACATGTATGACTGTGGTCCTATAAGATTAAAATAGATATGGTAATGTCCTACACCTTCACATTCATTCACCTCTCACTTACTAACTCATCCAGAGCAACTTGCAGTCCTGCAAGCTCCATTAATTCTAAGTGTTCCATGTAGATGTACCATTTTTTATTCTTTATATTGTATTTTTACTGCACTTTTTCTATGTCTAGGTATATTTAGATATACAAATACTTAGCATTGTGTTAACAATTGCCTACAATATTTGGTATAGTAACACACTGTATTGCTTTGTAGCCTAGGGGCAATAGATTATACCATACAGCCTACATATGTAGTAGGCTATGCATATAATCTAGATTTGTGTAAGTCCCCTCCATGATGTTCACACAAAAATAAAATCACCCAGCAATGCATTTCTCAGAACATATTCCTGTCATTTCCTTACACAACATGACTGCATAAGGAAAACAAACACCACCTTTGATGAGAGAAATGTTTAACAATCTTATCTGCAGACTATTCTTCTCACTCAGCAAGGAGTTTAGATTTTTTCCTAAGTGAGTTAGGAAGACATTTTATCTAGCAATAAAATGACATGATTTAATTGCAGTTTTGAAAAACAATGGATGAGGAAATGTCTGAATAAGATATTCCTGTGGTGACCTTTTTACTATGCCTTGGCAAGCTCACCAGAAACATGAGCAGAAATCCGTGAGAACCCAAACTCCGATGAAGAAGTAACAAGTGTCATAAAACATAGCCTAAAATTCTTCCCCTGTTAAAGGTCCCAACCTCACCCAGCAGTCTGTATAAAACGCATCCGTAACTTAGGGCTATGGAGTTGATTGTTTCATTCACCAGCTTGTTCAATTTTATTGTATAGTTATAAACTATGCCCATGGCCATGGCTAGTTATCTCACAAATCTGCAAATTTAATCAAAAAATGGATTAACTTAGCACGAAACAGTGACTGGTTTGACTCATAACCATCATAACCACTAGAAAAACCATAAAAGTCAATGTCCTACTGACAAAAGCTTATTAAAAACACAAAGATTTTGTACATTTAGTATGCCTTTAAATTATCAGCTTTGTGTATCCAACACTAAAGTAATAGATATATCAGAAATCCACATGGTAATTGTCATGCTTATAAAGTACTCATAAATGCAAAAATTAGTTGTATACAATATTAGCTCTCTCAATTACCTTTTCATATAAACTTTGCTCTTCAGTCACTCATCCATTTTATATTTTTTATTCTTAAACAGGTTTTTAATTATTGATATGGCATTATACAGTAAATATTCTATATTCACTTATTATATTGCTCTGTTGGAAGCATAAAGGTAATTTGACTTCAGTCCACTTTAACTGTACTATGAACTTTGATTTATTGATTATTTATTTATGCCTCTTTAAACAAAAACACATGTCTCAAAGGAAATTTATAGTGAACAACAAAGAGGCTTAGTGTCAGTAGTAGATGTCTTTTTGAAAATAAAAATTAAAGGCATCAGGCATCAAATCATCAGAAGAGTCATTAACGATAATGGAAAGCATGTGATGGTGTTATTTCTCTGTCACTGAAAATAAGGCGAAGAAATGTTCTAGGAGAATGATTTGAGAATAGTCTTAAAGTCAAAACTAGCTAATCAGCTATTTTTCCCCAGGTAGTAGAAGTAATAATACAATTTCTCTCCTGTCATAGCATCAGGAGAATAGAATAAATATGTTTCAAGCATCACCTGAAAGGGAAAATAGGAACAATTTTAAAACATTCTCATTAAGTTTAGCATGATTTTATTGTCCTTCAGCAAAATGCATTTCCTATCAGGGAACTCTATTTCACTATTCTCTTGAAACTGGTTTGAAGAGGAAGGCGTGAAGAGCTTGAATAATTTCCTGCCAGCTATATGCCATTTTCTTACCACTGCTTTTCAGGTTATTCCATAAAGTAGACTTGGCCTTACCTAAAATTTAAAGCGCAGATATTATGTCTATGAATTAAATCACAATCAGTAGTGAACAAGCTTTAAGAGAACCATATTAAATTTTCTTGTACAAGAAAGAATTTTTTGTAATGCAAACAAGGAGCACTTGATTTATTTGTTTTGGACTTGGGGAAAGGCAGAGAAACAGAACCATTAGGGAGAAGGAATTCATTCAGGACTGCTGTGAAGAAAGAGAATGAGAAGGGAAAAGAGGATAGGATGAGGGTGGTCAGAGGAGTTATTAGAGTAGAGAATTAGGACACTATGGTGTTTAAAGAACATTTCATTCTAGCTCTTATTAAACTCTGGGAATCTGTATTTTTGCTCTCCTGGGCCTGCAGGTAAAACCCAATTGAGTTATTTTCATTCTGTGATTCACAAACACCATCTCTTCAGTGTCCAGGTTCAAACTTTTCGACCAGTTCCAAAGGAAAGAAGATAAAGAAATGATAGAAAGAAGTTCAAAGGGAAAGAAGGCAAAAAAAAAAAAAAATGGCATGGATTATGCAATGGTTTGAATGTTTGTCCCCCTGAAAACTCACATTGAAGCTGGGTGTGGTGGCTCATGCCTGTAATCCCAGGATTTTGGGAGGCCAAGGCAAGTAGATCATTTGAAGTCAGGAGTTCAAGACCAGCCGGGCCAACATGGTGAAATCCTATATCTACTAAAAATACAAAAATTAGACACAGTGGCACACACCTGTAATCCTAGTTACTGGGGAGGCTGAGGCTGGACAATCATTAGAATGCGAGAGGTGGAGATTGCAGGCAACCAAGATTGTACCACTGCACTCCAGCCTGGGTGACAGAGAAAGACTCCCTCAAGAAAAAAATAAAATAAAAAAAGTTAAAATTTAATTACCAAAATAATGACATTGGGAGGTGGGGCCTTTCAGAGGAGATTAGGCTTTTCTGGTTCCAACCTCATGGATGGGTTTAATGGCTTCATAAAAGTGCTTTCAGGGCTCTTCTTCTCTTCTGCCATATGAGAAAAAGCACTTCTCCCCTGCAGAGGATGCTCTTGAATTTCATAGCTTCCACAACTATGAGAAATAAATTTCCACTGTTTATAAACTACCTAGTCCGTGGTGTTCTGTAACAGCAGTACAAAACAGGCTAACACTGATTGTTTCATAATTTCTGCTTAATGAAGTCATTGTATAATGAAGCGCACTCTGGCTCTCAAAAGCCTTAGCATTCATTAGCACCACAGACAACTGTGAGGAATTCCCAGAAGAAGGCAGCATTGCCCCAGATGGCACTGTAAGATGGAACACCAGAGGCAATCAAAGGAAGTGTCTTTGCCCAACCGCCATGCAACTAACAGGAGAGGAAGAAAACGATGCATGAGGAAGCAAGCAGGATGGGCTCCTCAATATATCCGGTAGTGCATGTATTAACCAGAAGTAATTGAGTGGTTACTTTAATGAATAGTTACATGTACCTAAGAGGGCAATTGATGTGTTTATAGTCATGTAGCATCCATTTCTCCCTTGAGGAATAGCAGTATGATGTCCTTTGGGGAGTTACATCTCCCCACATTATGTGTTGTCTTATTGACATGGTAAATTAGGATGCGCTTTCATGAAGAAAACCATGGAGAACCCCAGGTACTATGGCAGATATACCTCTTCCTCCTACTAAAGGCCATAATGCAGAAACATGATGTAAGCAATAGTCATTGACATCTCTGCCATTATTCTTTGAAATTTGGACATAATTAATTAAAAACTGAAGAAATAGGAGGAGCTAGTTTTTCCAGTGAAGGTAGTAGAGCTATGCTATGAAATGTTTTCTATATTGAGATCTGTCAAATTTATAATTGCTAGTTCCTGTTATTTCCAATCACTATTCTGCTTTTCCTTCCTTCCTTCCTGTTTCCATATTCTGACCAATAAATTCACCTTGTGTTTAAGAGAGATAGTCTCTACTGTTTATAACATGAGCAAACAGAGCAACTTTTTAAAGTAAAATAACAATTATAATTATCACATCTTTAGACAGGCAGCACAATACATCATGTGCCATTTTATGCAGTATGATATTATTAAAAATTAAATTTCAGATAGACTTTTGCTCTATCAGGTCAACAGTTTCTGGATGGTATGTTACGTGATAGGACCATGGTGGCATCGCAGTTGCTCCTCCTTTGTTGTAGACTTGGGTTCTTTAGCCTGAAATGACTCTATGCAGTATTCTGTGTCAAAGGCTGCCAGTGGGGTCCAATACTGTACGCCCGCAAATAATAGTGCTGGTAAAGCAGGAAAGACACATTCATACCAGGAATATGTATCATTTCCAGCCAAAAAACAAGACAAGATTTGCTTGTCTATTCCCAAGCAAAAGCAGTCCAATGTAATCAACTTGTCAACAAGTGATTGACTTGTCTCTGAGGGATGATGCCATATTGAGGAGGCTGTGACACATTGGAGCTGTCTATCAGCTGGACCTTCAGTAGAGGCAGTAGCCAAACCAGTTTTGACTTTTTATTGCTCTCAATTTCCTTATTATTCATCCTTGATCTCTTATCACTCAGTATATTAAACAAAACTCTTGTCCACCCATCTATTTTGTCTTAGGCAAAACCATGTTCTGTTAACCATCTCCATAGTTCTCTGCAGAACAAGCCAGCCTTGCTGCCACTTTGATCTTAGTGTTCATTATAATAATTTTCCACAGTTCACTTCTGAGGGTTAAGTGCCATCACTTGCCTCTATTTTGAGAACTGCATTGCCCTATTTTTATCAGGGAATCTAGTTCTGTTAAGCAACTCCTACTGCCTTCCCTACTTACAGGAGACAGCTATCACTGAGATTCTTGCTGATAGTGGTGTTGCTCTCACCAGTGCACTCTTATTTGGTATATGGAGGGTTCCCTGGGTTCTCCCACAGAACACAGTGGATTTTTTGCCCTTGGGTAGTGTATGCACTTCAGCATGCCCATTCTCTGACCTTTGCATTCCCTCCTCCATTGTTTGCATAGCAGTTCTAATATTTCTCCTTCACTCAGTACAAGGTTTCATTTTCTCCAAGCTTGCAAGAGCCAACATCGTAGTATGTTTGCATTGTTTCCCAGGGTCCTTGCCAGGATGTACAATTCTGTATCAAATAGAGTGTTCCCATTATATTAAATACTTTCTTATCCATCTTGACTGTGTGCCTCTTCCACTTACCACCATGATCTAGCACCCTCAGAATCCAGTTTAATACATATGTTCCTGGCTCCTGCTTTTATATTTGACTAGGTCCCGCAGCAACTCTTTCAGAAAATAGCCCTTCTCCTTTAGCAAAACACACTAGAGTAAACTGGCCGGGTTACCTTGTGACAGCAACAGTGATTAGTCTGGCATCCAGAAGGAGAGGTGGAGACAGATCCTCACTTGCAAGGCAGCATCCTCTATATCGTCAAGCATCCTCTATATCTCAGGGAGTTTAATTGACAGCAGCCCATCATTTCTGCAGACCCAGTAGGTGTAGGGGTATCTGAGGGTTTCAAGGTTCTGGTATCATCAATTCACATGACCCCATTCCAATTCTCAGGTTCCAGACCTTCCCAACCATGACTCTGACCTTGACAATTGCACATTTGCTAAGAATGAGAATTCGACCTCCTCTGGAGCTCTGCTACTCTTATAATTATATCCTGGCCTGATCCTCAGCTTTTTCCGGCCTCCAGCTGCAAAGCCTGGGAATCTTTTTATATGTTGCCAAATAGGCCTTCTGATTTTCACATTTTACCTTAAATTGTTGATTAATCACCATCAGCTTTTTATGGTCTGAATATATCAATAGGACTCTGATTCTATTGTCTTTATAATTGGTCCTTCCCCAAACCTCTCTAACCTATGAGCTATTGCAGTAGCCAATGCATTACCTTCCCCATGGCATTTCAGTTTATCCCCAAGGACCGCTTTAACAATTGTTCTGTTACAGCTTGTCAGAGGCGATCAGTACTCCACCGACCAGTGAAGCGATTGCATTGCCGGCTGGCCAGGGGTGATACAGTTCCAAATCCCTGTTTCTGAATCTGCTTCCTAGGGCTACTCTTGGCATCCGATATGTGTCTGAGTTTCCAGGATAATGAGCTCTGAGACAGATATACATGCAGGAAGTTTACTGGGGAGTGCCTGCAGGAACAACACCTATAAAGAAATAAGGGAAAAAGAGTTGGGCAGAGGATGAAGTTGAATGCAATGCATTTGCAAAAGGGCTTCAGGTGATCCCACAGTGGGTACTCTGGCTAGGATGACCCTTCAGAGTTGTCCAAGATTGCGGCAAGGGCTGTGTCTCTGCACCCTTACATTAACTGGTCGTGGATGTGGGATGCCCCTGGGGACAGGGTACAACATTTGTAAAGCAGCTTACTCAATCCAGCACCCCCCTCAGCTAGGAGCTCAATACTGAAGGGTGATTCAGGAGCCATTACAGCCGTCTGCTGCATTTGCACACATCACACTAAGAGAGAGCAGCAGATTTACAGGAGTTCTGTTTTCAAGTTCTTGGCTTGCATCTTGACTCTACCTGTGACAAGACAAATGACTGGGCAAGATGTTTAACTTATCTTATTTTTGGTTTTCTCTCTCATGGAAAATAAGATCGTTATTTTTCTTCTTTATCAACATTATCTTGGTTTGTTTGTTTGTTTAGTTGGAGTCTAGGGAGTCTAATCTGTTGCCCAGGCTGGAGTGCAGTGGCATGATGTCACCTCACTGCAACCTCTACCTCCCAGGTTCAAATGATTCTCCTGCCTCAGCCTCTTGAGTAGCTGAGATTACAGGCATGCATCATCACACCAGCTAATTTTTGTATTTTTTTTTTAAGTAGAGAGAGGGTTTAACTATATTGGTCATAATGATCTTGAACTCGACCTCCAGTGACCTGCCTTCCAAAGTGCTAGGATTACAGGTATGAGCCACTGCTCCTGGCCTATCTTGGTTATTTTTACATAACTATTATTTCAGATGTACTGTAGGTTTATCTACCAAAGTCCTATTAGTATAAAAATTGCTTTCTCATTTTAAATAAAGTTAAATATATGGATTTTGGAGATAATTTTGTTTTTTTTCAATCCTGGATTATTGACTTATTAAATTTTTCTTTCTCTTTTTTATTTCCTACCCCCTAAATTTCTGCCCCTCCTCAGCCACGTGAGTCGTCACTCTTGCTCTCTCTTTCTGTCCTTCCTACAGCGTTTTAGTCCCAGCTGCTATAACAAAGTGCCATAGACCAGGTAGACTAGGTGGCTTATAATCGATAGAAATGTAATGTCGAGAGTAAGAGAGCTCCCTGAGGTTTCTTTTATAAGGCACTAATCCCTTTCATAAAGATTCCATCTTCATGACATAATCACTTTCCAAGAATCCAACCTCCTGGTACTATCACAGTGGTTAGGATTTCAACATATGAATTTTGGCAAATGTAAATATTCAGACCATTACAAAGAGCCTTCAGTAAAATTTTGGTATTAAAAATAAAGATTTCAAAAGATTTATTTTAACTGCTTAAGGCTAGAGAGATATCATCTTTTAAATTTTAATTTTTAATTTGCCAACATAGTAAGCTATTTTGCAATGGG